TCTGTACGCAGCGCGTAGTCGCTAGACCCTCAGTACTCTGCGCGTACCAGGGAGGTACGCTGGGCGTACGCAGCTCAGATGGGCCCTAATCTGTTTTGGGCCTTTGGGCCTCATTTGGCTGATGAGCTTGTTTGGACTTTGTAAGATTGAGGCCTTTTCATCTGTTTGGGCCAAGGACTTATTGGTTGGGCCTTATTGGGCCAAGGGGCCCATTAAGGATATTGGACTTGGATTTTGGGGTCCAATTTGCAAGAAAGGGGTAATTAGGCCTTGGGGGTAGAGTTTGAAGGTTGGGCCTTTCCTTGGGTAATTTAAGGTCTTATCATTGATTATATATTATTGTTATTATTTAGCTTGGTAGGTTGCGGATTATTGGGAGGGCAGTAATTGTATTCATTGGACGGAGGTGAGTCTTCTCACCATACCTATGGGTCTACGGCACCAAGGCCGGCCCATTATGTGATCATGTTATGTGTGTGTTATTCATTTATGAATTGATATGTTGTGTGATATTATGTTGGTATGGAAGACCCTGGGGGAGCCCGTGGCATTGGATATAAGACCATGTGGGGTAGCCCATGGCAGTCCTAGGTAAAGACCATGTGGGGTAGCCCATGACATTGGATGTAAGACCATGTGGCGTAGCCCATGGCGGTCCTAGGTAAAGACCATGTGGGGTAGCCCATGACACTCTTGTTGAATCGTATTACATAGTTTCTGTGGCATGTTTATAGCTTATTTTTTTAGCTATCAGGATATATGTATGCGAATGTGTGTGGTATGCTCTGGGAAACTCACTAAGCATTTCGCTTACAGGTTGTTGATTTGTTTCAGGTACTTCTGAGCCTAAGGGCAAGGGCAAGGCGTGATGACGTGGCGTGTACTCTATCTCTCTTTTGATGTGTTTGGGACCCTCTGATGTTTTAAAAAGGAAAACAATGAACTAATGAATGTTGATTTGAAAATAAATGTTTTGGGATTTTATGGTTTAGGGGATTGGCTTTGGTTTTAAAAGGAAAAAAAATATATATAATGAAAATTTTCTTTGTAAAATTGGGTCGTTACATAGTGATAAAGCTCATGGTGTTTCTACTTATAGGCCCGATAAAAGGGCTAAAACCACTGGTGCTTCTACTGATAGGCCCGGTAAAAGGGCTAAAACCACTGGTGCTTCTACTGATAGGCCCGATAAAGGGGCTAAAACCAGTGACGCTTCTACTGATAAGACCGATAGAGATAAAGCCTCTAAAACCTCTGTTAGTCTTGATGAGTTGAGTCTTGATATGCAAAAAGCTCTGCAACATTTGGTGAATAGCAAGGAAGGGCCAACAGTAGAAGAATGTTATGAGAGGTTGAAGTTAGTTGGATTAGACCCAATGGATCCTATATTTTTGGCAGCCTTTCACCTTTTTGGAATGTCCATGAATATAAGAGAGGCATGGATGACATTGCCACCGATACCTGAGGTCTTAAAAGGGTGGATAAAGATGACTGGCACCACATTAGGGATGTTTAAGTAGTCTTTATGCTTATATTTTTTCGTTTATTTTGAACAATTATGTGTTTCTTGAACTTATGTTTGAAATTATGTTTTTTGCTATCATTTGAATGACTGTGTACTTATTTGACACAAATATTGCTAGTATTGAGATCATATGCTTATTTGAAACAAAATGTGTGCTTTGAATATGATACAAATGCTTATGTTTTTTGCTTTAGCATATTGGGATTTAACAAGTGTTGATGGTTTAACAGGTTCACAATGGATTACGATAAAAAGTTCCGCCTCCTAATTGTTATGAATTTGTATCTTCGCTTTTTTTTGGAGAAGAGGTGTGAAAAGAATGCGAGATAATACCTCAAAAACATCTGGGCATCAATTCACATTAGAGTTATTACAAGGAACTAATAACCAATGCATTGAGCTCTTACGTATGTCACGTGATTCTTATGTTCGGCTTTGCACACATTTTAGAGTAAAAAGTTGGTTAAAGGATAGTAAACATATGTCGGTTGAAGAGAAGATGGCGATGTTCTTGATGATGATTGGTCACAATCAACGTTATGTACTCATCAAACGTAGATTTCAACACTCAGAACAAACGATTCATAAGTATTTTTATGAAGTATTGGATAAAATGATGGTGTTCGCAAATGATATAATAGTACCAACTTCCTTTAATCCAAATCCAAACGTTCCGGGACATAATAGGAGGTTACGAAGGATTTTCAAAGGAGCGGTTGGTGCACTTGATGGAACTTTGGTACATGCTATTGTCCCTCTTGACAAACAACATTTGTATAGAGGAAGGGGAAAAAGCGATTGTTATCAAAATGTATTGGCAATATGCGACTTCAATATGATTTTTACGTTTGTCGTGGCTGGTTGGGAAGGGATAGCACATGATTCAAGAATATTATCTGAAGCTTTAACAGATCGAGATGCACCATTCCCATTTCCACCGTCGGGTTTGTTTACATTTTCATTTTAATATTTCTATTTTTTTTAAATTAATTATTTCCTTATATTTACAGATAAGTATTATCTTTGTGATGTTGCGTATACACACACCCGAGGATTTATGGCTCCTTATCATAATGTGCGGTATTGGCTTGAAGATTTTCATCGAAGACGTGCATTAACCAACAAAGAAAAGTTTAATCACTCACATGCAAAACTTCGAAATGTCATTGAACGTGCTTTTGGTGTCTTGAAAGCACGTTTCCCTATATTGAAGAGAATGGCTCCATTTCCATTGGTTACACAAAGAAACATCGTCATTGCATGTTTTGCGCTTCATAATTATATAAGAAAAGATGGATTAAGTGATGAGTATTTTTCTCAATATAATCAAGTCGATATGTCACTTCAAAGCAACAATGTACAAGATGATGATGATGATGAGGAGGAGGAGGATGACGTGGATGAGGTACAACCACACGGAAGTGCAAGAGACCGGGAATATATGGTTTATCTACGAGATCAAATTGCTGACCAGTTAATGCGAAATGTAAAATGAATGATTTCATAAAAAATATGTTAGTTTTGTGAATTTAGTTTTAATATTGTAAGACAATCATCAAAACAATCATTTATGTTTTTAAAAATATCAACTTTAATAAGTAAGCGGGCTTCTGGTTTGAATCGAAATATATATAGTTTATCTAATGTCTTAAAAAGTATTATATGTTTGAACAATGGAAATTAATGCAAATCGGGTGTCAACGTGTAAGTATATAATTCTTATTAAGAAAAAATCTAATGTGTTTTTTTATGTTGCTTTTTCATATTATCTAATATTTTCTTACAAAATACTATAAATCTATTAAATTGTTCGTAAATATTATTAAATGAATAGGTTTTTCAATTTATTAAAAATCAACATGAATTATTCATATTTTAATATGAGAAAAAAATATGGTTAATTAATCTCCTTTATTACAAGATCTCTTAAGTTTTAGTTCATTCTAATTAAAAAACAAACAATCTTTTTGCATTAAGACTTTTTATATGAATACATAAAAAAAGACTTTTAGTCAACGTCTTCTTCTGCAGACATGGAAAAAGACAAAAGACATTTGATCACTTCCAAAACAAACACCACCTTAGTTTGTTGGAATTGATATTATAATAGCAATCTGGCGACAAAGAAAGGAAAGAGATAGAGGATTGTCGAGCGGCGACGTTTTCCGACATAAGATGTGTAGAAGAGAGGCGACTACTTTTGTTCTTTGATCCATGGATGAGAAAGTTGAGAAGGTGAAAAGATAAAAGGGCTAAGCACTTAAGTTGTGGGTGGTGGGACCCACCTATTTATTAAACATATTTATATAATAAATAAATAATCAACAAAATATAAAAATTATTAAAAAGGAAATATATAGGGACACAATAGTCTTTTTAGGTTAAACGGGGACTAAACATGTACCAAAAACTAATAATAGAATCAAAACATGCAACAAATTTGACATTTAAAGACTCTAGGGGTGAGCAGAAACCGAACCGAAACCCAAAAAAACCGAAATAACCGCATAAACCGAAGCCGAATAACCGAAACCGAAACGAAAACCGATGGTGCGGTTTTTAATTTTGAAAAACCGAAAAATTGCGGTGCAGTTCGTTTTTAGGTTTAATAACCGCACCAAATTAACCGAAATAACCGCAAACCGCATAATTTAATATATTATTTAAATATTGATAATACTTATATTTAATTAATAAAAATAAATTAGCTAATCTAAGGAATGCGCAGCTACGAAGCGGGACTCCAAAAAATTGAATCAGTCCTTTCCTTTAGTTTTGACCGAAAAACCGCACCTTTTTAACCAAAAAACCGCACCACCTCATTTTGTGGTTAAAAACGAAAACCGCACCGAAATAACCGCAAAACCGAACCGAATCAAAACCGCAATTTTCGGTTTCTGGCTTTAAAAAACCGCAATTTGCGGTTGCAGTTGCGGTTTTATACAAAAACCGCACCGAACCGCACCATGCTCACCCTAAAAGACTCTATAGATGAAAACCCCACTTAAAGACTAAATACGCAAGTAACACAATACCACAAGGAGTATTCAAAGTTATGGACTAGTATTTAGTTTTATTTTCTCAATAATATTTTATAACACTATCATAATTTTAAATAAGTATGTATGTAAGTAGGAATGAAAATATTCGGATATTTAAAATTTCTTTTTTTAATTGCGTTTTTTTTTTGTTACTCGCTAAAAATTCAAAATCATTACGCCTTTTTACGTATTTGGGTATATTTGCCAACTTAGCGACGATTATTTTAACAAAATAATAAAATACAAAAAAATGGTCACTATGATATTTTGATTTTCTTCTGAATTTTGTGAATGCTTTTTAAAGTTGCCGAGTGACGCCATAAATGATGATCGCTCCCCATAATACTATCCGAGTCTGAGAGCAACAAGACGAGAAAATTATCCAGTTCCTGATTGAGGCCGGTGCAGCGGTGCGTAAGTCTGAGGCAGGCTGGATGGAAGGAGTATTGCCGTTGATTGAAAGAGATGATAATGATAATCGTAGATTAACATGGAGCGTATTTGGGGAGGAGGCTAAGAAATTCGGATACATAGCAGCGCCAATGGTGGCGGTGACTCTTTCACAGTATTTGTTGCAGGTTATCTCCGTCATGATGGTCGGCCACCTCGGTGAGCTTGCTCTTTCTAGCGCCGCCATTGCCATCTCCATTTCTAGCGTCACCGGTTTCAGCTTAATCGTCAGCTCTCTCTCTCTCTCTCTCTCTCTCTCTCTCTCTCTCTCTCTCTCTCATGATTTAACATTAGATGACGTTGAATACGAATTGCTGATGCCGTCACATGCTAAAATTCTCCAGGAATTTGTTAATATTCATACTTTGAATGTCATGGTTTACTTTCGAAACTTCAAAGTTATTGTTAACAGAAAGGCTGGTATTAAACCTTGTGCACCAAGGTAAAGAAAGAAGAAAAAAGAATTAAAGAGATTAAGTTATTGATCTTCTTGCGAAGAGGTTAAAATCACAAAAGAAACAAAATTTGCTGGGATTTTTTTATTCTAAACTAAACAATCTGAAACTTTGACATCTATTTATACTAAACAAAATAGAATCTTATTCTAGTACCAAAACTAGCAAAACACAAATCCTAAAAAACTTTCCTATTAAACCGATCAAAACCAATTAACCAACAATCACACCCTTAATTGGTTGATCATACCACTCGTTCAAAAAAATACGGGTTCCTCTTCGAGTAGATTTGTCTCTTCTTTCTCCCATTTAGGACACTTGTTTTTATAGTGACCAAACTTACCACGTTTGTAACATTTAACGTAACTTTTATCCCGGACACGTTCATTACCATCTCGACTTCTCCCGGACCCCCGACCTCTTCCCCGGTCACGTCCAAAGTCATCTCGATTTGAATGTCCATTGCCACAATGCTTACAAACATGTGATTTTTCCTCACTAGCCAACAACAACCCTCCTTGAGTGTCCTCCACTTTCTCGGTTCCTTTTATACGCTCCTCGTATGCCTTCAATCTACCAACTGCTTCATCAAATAACATTGAATCCAACTCGAAACATTGCTCTATTGAAGCCACGATTTGAAGAAACGACTTAGGCATCGAATCTAGTAACCTTTTTACCAAATCACCTTCTTCAAGCTCATATCCAAGACTCCTTGCTTTTGAAGATAAACCGCATAATTTTGTCACAAAATCATCGACCGTTTCACCCTCCTTCATGTGCAAACTTTCAAGCTCTCTCTTTAACGTTGCAAGTCGAGCCGTTCTCACCCGATCCACTCCCAAATACCGTGTTTTCAGCCCACCCCACACTTTCTTTGGTTCGGTGTAACTCGCCATTTGCAACATCATGTTTTCGGGTATAGCTTGAAACAAAAAGGCAAGAGCTTGTTTTGACTTCTTTTGATCCGATGCTTCACCTAACGCCTTTGGTTCGATCGTCTCCCATATGTCGTGTGCATCCATAATCGACTTGACTTTGACCGCCCATACCGGATAATTCGTTGGAGTCAAATCCGGAACTTGATACGTCATCGAACCTCCTTCTTTAACCTAATCAAAGTCACCCGCTTTGACGTCTTTCCGTCTGTTTATTCTGCGTCTCCGGTTAGTCTCTCTCAAGCCCGATTAAGAGAAACCGAGGTTGCTTGTAATCAACCTCGAATCACACCTAAAAGCAAAAAAGAAACAAAACTTGCAGTGATTTTTTTATTCTAAACTTGACATCTATTTGTACTAAACAAAATAGAATCCTATTCTAATACTAAAACTAGCAAAACACAAATCCTAAAAAACTTTCCCACTAACCGTGATCAAAACCAATTAACCAACAGTTATTAGGATGAACTTTTGGGGGAAAACTAGCTGATTTTATCCAGATCTGCTACAAATTCTACTACGATAGACTAAACTTCTTGTTGGATTTCTAGCAGAATCCACATCCAATTTTGCAATTGAAGCGTTCTGAAAGTAGATAAATCTCAAAAAATCAAAAGTTAATTTAGCTCTGTCTTATAACTTATTCGAATTATTAAGATGTAAATCGAATCCCTACATTTCATGTTCTTTGTGTTACTTCGAATCTTGTTACTCTGTTCTCCTATAATAATGAAATGATATATAACAGCTTCGTTCTTGTTATGAATAATGAATTTATGATCATTAATTTAACAATTTGATTTTGGATTTGTTTAACAGATGGGGATGTCAAGTGCACTGGAAACATTATGTGGACAAGCTTACGGAGCTCAACAATACAAAAAATTCGGAACTCAAACTTACACTGCCATTTTCTCTCTTTTAATCGTTTGCATTCCTCTCTCCATCATCTGGAAAAATACAGGAGCTATTCTCCTTCTTATTGGCCAAAACCCTTCAATCTCACATGAAGCTGGAAAATTCATAACTTGGCTCATTCCTGCAATCTTTGCCTATGCAGTACTACAACCACTCGTTCGTTATTTCCAAATGCAAAGCATGCTATGGCCTATGCTCATTAGCTCAACTGTTGCTCTACTTTTACACATTCCTCTTTGTTATGCCCTTGTATACAAGACCACATTAGCAAACATTGGGGGAGCAGTTTCCATGGGTATTACAATGTGGCTAAATGCAATCTTTCTTTTCTTTTACATGAAATATTCTCCCTCATGTGGAAAAACACGCGCCCCTATATCGATCGAGGTCGTCCATGGGATGAAACAGTTCTTTAGCTATGCTATCCCTTCCGCTGTCATGATTTGGTTGCTACTCTTTCTCTCTTTCTACAAAAACTATATATTTCATTATATGTGCAAATTCATTTTATATTTTTAACATTTTTAAACATTAAAATATTTGCAGTCTTGAATGGTGGTCATATGAAATTCTAATACTGTTATCCGGTCTTCTCCCAAATCCGGAGCTTGAAACTTCTGTTCTTTCTGTATGGTACGTATTGACCATTGAACTTATTGGGAATTACCCTTTTTGCCATGTCAGCGCCATATGTACATACTTTAATTCTAATAATTAAATGTCTAAGTAGACTGAGAAACAAAACCTGCGCTATATCATGTCGCAAGAACTTTCATGACCAAATGGGTAAATCTCAATAACTTGGGATAGTCGATTTTGTCATTAACCTATTTTTTCATTAAAAAATAAGTTGTGATTTGGATCTCTTACTCAGTCTCAATACTATTGCGACACTTTACGCCATAGCATTCGGATTCGGGGCTGGAATCAGGTTGGTATCATATCATAAATAAATACTGTAAAAAGGTTAAAGTTGAAATTGGGCAACCAATTTTCTATAGTAAACATATTTTTTGTATTTCCAGCACAAGGGTATCGAATGAGCTAGGAGCTGGAAACCCACATGGCGCCCGTACGGCAGTCTATGTTGTCCTTATCCTCGCCATCATCGAAACAAGTGTCATTAGCACAAGTGTTTTTGTGAGTAGGCGTGTTTTCGGGTATATTTTCACAAACGAAAAGGAAGTTGTTGACTATGTTACAAAAATGGCCCCTCTTCTTTGCTTAAACATCATCATGGACAGTCTACAAGGAACCCTTTCAGGTTATTTTACAACTTACAAAGTGTTTGTTCATAAAAGAAACATGAATATTTGTATTTGTTGATTAGATATATTATTGAATTAAATTAAGAGAAATTAAATATCCTCCTATCTTTTGATCCTACCAATCCTCCTACCCATTTAAATGATGACATGTGTCATATTAGTATCCTAAAATATCATTAAATTTCATTAAATGTTACATATGTCATCATTTCATTGGGTAGGAGGATATGTAGGAACAAAAAGTAGGAGGATATTTAATTTTTCTTAAATTAAATAGGCGTTGCGAGGGGTGTTGGGTGGCAACATCTTGGGGCTTATATCAATCTTGCTGCTTTTTATCTTGCTGGGATTCCGGTTGCTGCTTTCTTGGGATTCTACACATCATTACGAGGAATTGGTCTATGGATTGGAATCCTTGTGGGTGCTGTAATACAACTTATTTTACTCACCACTGTAACCATTTCCACAAATTACGAAAAACAGGTTTGCTCTAATCATGATTTTAAACGTTTTTTTTTTTTTTTTTAACTTGAGAGCATGTAAAGTAATTGGTCGGGTTTTATTGTACAGGCTACAAAGGTGAGGGAGAGGTTATTTAATGAGGAATCGTCTGTGGAGAGGCTAATGTGAAGTTAGTGTGTACTTGTTTGTGTTTTGTTTATGTAACTATAAAGTTGATTAAATGTTGTTGTATATTTTGTTTCCAACTAGAAATGCATATGTTTTATTCATAAAGATATTCATAATTTCAATATTACAACATACAAAGATTCAGAATTCAAATTTCAAATTACTGAATCTCATTCCAACAACTATACCCAATTCCCATAGGAAACGTCAGGTAAAAGATGTCAGATGACAGATGTAGACAGTCATGCCTCTACAGTCTACATTTTGTCTAAAGGTTACCGGCCGATGAACTTAACGGTGTACGCACCACCAAAATAAAGACCCAAAAGCGGTCCCGCAAGAAGCAGCTGAGTCAACGGGTCGGTTGATGGAGTCACAATAGCCGCAGCAATAACCGCACCAACAACCACATATCTCCATATTGACAACATTTGATCCCCTGACACCAAACCAACTTGACCTAGTAACAGTTGTATCACTGGAACCTGTATAATCATTTAATCAACTTATCAACAACAAACAAAAATGAAAAAACCATCTACATTATCCAATTCCATTCCATTCACCAGAGATTCCAATTCCGATTCAAATAAGTTTACCTGGAATGACAATCCGGTGCTGAACATAAGCACGAGAACAAACTCAAAATATTGATCAATCGACCATAATGACTCCACAACCCCTTCTGCATATGTAACGAAAAAGTTCAAAGCAGCCGGAGTGAGAACGGAATAGGAAAACGCGATTCCGGCGTAGAATAGAATCGATGATCCGAGAACTATCGGGGCTAGGAATTTCCTTTCTGATTTTGTTAACCCCGGAAGAACAAAAGCTATGATTTCATATAGAATCACAGGGCTTCCTAAAAGAATGCCACAGTACCCAGAAACCTATAATTACAACAAATGTTATGAATTTCATGAAAAATCGAACTTTTTTATATAAAATGTTTTATAAATTGAATTCTGATTTCTGACCTTTATAGTTGTGAAGAAAAACTCTCCAGGGGCTAATTGTAAGAATCTAACGCCTTGAGTACTGACCGGAGCTTCTAGAAGCTTTATGAGTTCTTTTGAGTACACGAAGCATCCTAAGATGGCAGCTCCGACAGCCAAAACGGACACAAAAAGCCGTTCTCGAAGCTCTTCCAGATGATCGAAGATGCTCATTTCTTTATCTTCTGGAAGAAGCTCTTTATCCGGATAAAGAAATTTATAAATTGCGCCTTCGTTTTCTGATTGTTTATCTTCTATTATCTCATCAACCACCTCTATAACAAAGGATAGAATGCAACTTATTTCATTAACCCCCAAAGAAGATCGATCAAATTACGAACGAATTGGGGTACCAGAAGCATAATACATAAATACATTAATCGATTCTTCAATATGTAACATAAACCCTAGTCATAATTGATTTAAAAACAAGAAATGAAATTAGGTTTTTCACTTACTAGGTTTAGATTCAACAATTGATCCTCCAAACCCGATACCAAGCTTTCTTTGCATATCCTTCATATCCTCAACAGCAAAACAAACGACTCTATCAAACTTATTTTGCCTCTTATTTGAGACATTCAGATACGTCTTTTTTTGATTGATCTGCAAGGAATTTGAATGATTTGTTCTAGAAATCGCACAATTGAAGCAATTGTTTGTGTTGAACTGAAGATTGACGAGAGCATTTGTACTTCCCATTGTTCTTGATACTTTCCGGTTAAATTTGAAGTTTGATTTTCTGGGGTTTTAGGGGAATTTGGTTTGGAAGGCGTAGTGCATGTTAGCAAACCTACCTACTACATCCAAATCTCCGATCTTGCGCGCAATGTTCTTTTTGAGGAAAATGTGCATACACATACACATACACCCCCTCATGTTTTGCGGAATTACATCCAATACCTTCAAATCCTTTTAAATATGCAGCATATAGAAATTAAATATCATATAATCTCAAAAACTTGATACAACAAACAAATTTAACTAAAATAATATTTTTGTGCATTTGAAATCAAAAAACACATTACAATAATTTTCAACCGATATTTCGCCAAATGGAATGATTAAATCCATGGACCAAAAAAAAAAAAAATCAAGTTTTTGCATGAAATCGACGAAACCATCTCCATCGGCATCATCTTCTTGAATTCTTCAATGCGATGTGACATTAATTCTTCGACATCATCTTCTTGAATTCTTCAAAATCGACGAAACCATCTCCATCGGCATCAACCGACTTAATCATATTCGCACAACTTTCAACGGTGTAGTTCTCCCCCAATTTACACAAGATCTGATGCAATTCGGTCGCGGAGATCTTTCCGTTGCTGTCTTGATCGTAGAGCTTGAACGTTTCCCTAAGGTCGTCGATTTCAGATTCTCCGGCGAGTCCTTTGCAAAATCCCACGAACTCATCGAGGCTAATGGAGCCGTCAGAGTCGGTATCAATTTCGGCCATTATTCGCTTCACCTCGTCCGGAGATGTATCGGATCCGAATGACTTCAGGACGCCGATTAGCTCCTCCTCGGAGATTCTACCGTCGCCATTGGTGTCGAAACGGTTGAAAATGATCTTCACTTCATCCGTGTCCGTTGGGAACACAGACTGCTTTTTAGTTTCCGGTGCCATTTCTGAAAACTTTCCGGTCTCTTTTTGGTTTCTGTTGCAGCGAGGGGGAAGGGGAATGATAAATATGAAGAGGAGGATACGTGAGAATGTGAGGTACAAATGCATGGAAAGGAGACCTCATTTTTTACATGTTACGTGTCTCTTTCTTCGCTCAAAAAAGGGTGCAAGTTTTGGATAATAAACCATTTAAATGTAATAATAGATACCCACTTTTCTAACTTTTAATGTAGTATTTTTATTGTTTTGTGTAATATCTGTAAAAAAATTGTAAGAAGTGAAAATATTGTATTATCAATAGAAAGTACTTATATAATATAGTGTGTCATTTTAAATATGATCTATTGAAAACATCATGTTATAATTGGCGAATATAGTGTATAATTTTAAATATACTGAATAGGGCATTTCTCTTATTCCCTTTGTTTTGTTGGAAAACCATGATTTGTTGGAAAACCATGACAGGGGCACTTGCAGAACTTTTGGAATGAGACTTCTTTACAGGACCGGCCCTAGGGGTAGGGCAAGCTGGGCGACCGCCCCGGGCCTCGCCGAATCTCGGGACCCCTCCAGGTGACAAATAGTGTGTATAGGTTTAGATAATATAAATATAAGTATGCACATTATAAATAAACAGATTAATATTTGAGATGGACAAGTCGTTGATGGTTTTTCTTTTTTACAAAAGGGCGCATGTTCGAACATTGTAACCGGAAATTTATATTTTACACACCTTTTTTTATGCGCCTCCTCGTTTCCAGTTTTTTTGTGCGTCTCCGCTCTCTTAGTTCCCAGTTTGGCTTCTTGAGAATCTCATCCTAGTTTTTCTCCCAAAGTGACCCTGTTCCCCCCTCCAAAAAGCGACCTCTCAAATCAACGTGAGGTTAGATTTCTAATATTTAATTCTCTAAAATTATATTTATGATAATCAATGTGACTTTGAATTTTGATTTCTGAATGATTGATTTCTGACAATCAGATTAAACAATTTACGAAGTTCGATTTTCAACTCGGCCCTAGCCAATATTTGAATAACCATATTAAAGGTTTCTAATTTTTGATTTCTCATTTCAATTTTGAAGTTCTTTCTCAATGTTTGATTTATGAATGTTTCGATTTCTGATAACTAACTATATGAAACGTTGATAATCCAACATTTTTGAACGATTTGCTAATCCACCATCTAATTCGAATTTTTAATTAGTGTAACCATGATATTTCATTCTGATTTTTGAATTGGGCTCATGTATTTGACTCTTTTGGTTCTTGCTCCTACTGTATCTCAGTATCTCACGCTTTCATCTTTGTTTCTCGTTTTTTCATGTATCCCGACTCTTTTGTTATGTTTTTTATTGTTTGTGTTCTTTGATATATGTTATTTCATTACTTTTTTTTTCATTAATATTGTAAGTTTTTAGTACTTATAGGTTTTAGATTATACTAGTATGTTTAGATCATACCAGTAGCTTTGTGTGGTGAGATCAAAAGGCATATGAAATGTCTTATTTTTACATATCGGAAAGGCATATAGAAGGTCTTATTTTTACATATCTGAATTACCCTTCATATAAGAATTATTATAGTTGTTGAAATAAAGTAATAAATGTAAATTACCCTTCACATAAGGATTATATTTTTTTTAACACACCAATCTAATGGACACACCAGTGAGTTCTATAAGGTTTTTAATTTACATATGTGCACCTACTTTTGATTGGGAGTATCTGCTGTTTTTTTTTCTTGTTGTGTGTACACCCATTACTCACCTTTTTTTAATAACAGAACTCTCTCTCTCTCTCTCTCTCTCTCTCTCTCTCTCTCTCTCTCTCTCTCTCTCTCTCTCTCTCTCTCTCTCTCTCTCTCTCTCTCATTAATTATTGTGTTATACTTTACTTTATATTGTAACTATACTTATACATACATACTTTTTTGAGGTAATATTTTTTTATCAACGGTCATAGAAAAAAAATTGTGGCTTTATACTTCTTTGAGATAGTAATATTATTTTTTTATAATTTATGATATTGGGTTTGCAGAAATGAAATGAAAAGTCTAAAAAAAGACGTTTGTGGCTTACGTCTAACAAAAAATAAAATTAGTCAAAAAAATCATGCTATAAAAAAGATGGGTTTACGGAAATGGAAAAAAAATAAAAATGTAATACATACTTTTTTGAGGTAATATTTTTTTATCAACGGTCATAGAAAAAAAATTGTGGCTTTATACTTCTTTTAGATAGTAATATTATTTTTTATAATTTATGATATTGGGTTTACAGAAATGAAATGAAAAGTCTAAAAAAAGACGTTTGTGGCTTACGTCTAACAAAAAATAAAATTAGTCAAAAAAATCATGCTATAAAAAAGATGGGTTTACGGAAATGGAAAAAAATAAAAATGTAATAAATTTGTGGGTTTACGACAATGATAAAAAATTTGATGAGGATTTATTTGGAATTTTATTTTTTAAAATATCTTTTATATTATTATATTATGAAAACAATATTATTGTTTTTTTATCTTAATACAAAATAAGTTTAAAATTATTAATATTAATAAAGTTAGCAATAAAAATGTAATTATTAATAATTAGGTTATAATAAAGTAATGATAAAAATTAGTCAAATGATAATTATATGACAATATTATTCTCGTTGTAATGTTTTTTTTTTCTTCAGAATATTGATATTTAATTTAACCTAGTGAGTTTTTAATTTTTTATGGAGTTTTAATCATTGTTTTATTTTATTATTGTTTTATTTTTTAACTTGTTTAATATAAATTAATTGATAATTTTTTTCCTTAAATAAATATTTAATGTGTTTTCTTTCAATAAAAGTTATTATACTAAAAAATATATATAGTTTATTTTTTGGCGACTGACTTATTTTTAATCTCACTTTCCCTCCAGGCCTCCACAAATAATCAATTCATTTATATATTTATTTATTGTTTTTGTTTACTGTTAACATTTTCTAATGATTAAAAATTATATTATTTTTTAAGATAAACTCAATAGAACTATTTATGTTTACTAAAAATGTATAAAACGTTCGTATGCAATTAATGATTTATGTCTATCAAAATCAAAGACACAAATGAAAAATATAAATTTTATCAAGCAAAAAGTTATCCGAAAAAATATGGGTTAGGAATGGTTTTTAAAAAATCATGCCATTTTTTTGTAAGGTTTGTTTTTTTCCTTTAAAAAATCACAACTATTTTTTAATGGATTTATTTGGAATTTTAATTTTTTATAATATTATTTATTATATTATAAAAACAATATTATTGTTTTTTTTTATTTTATTAAAAAATAAATTTAAAGTTATTAATATTAAAAAGTTACTAATAAAAATGTAGTTATTATATAATATTGATTATGATATAAGGGGTAATGATAAAAAAACTTCGTCAAAATAATAATTATATGTTAATGATATGGTGATAATGACCTAAAAGATAAACCTAAGGATTGTTATAGTTGCTGAAAATAAAGTAAGAGAAAATTACAAATTTAGTCAAATACATTAATTACTATGTGGAAAATAGCCAAAAAAATAAAACCAACATTGCATTTTTAGCCACTAAAATCGCAGATGGATATAAGCCATCTGCGATTTCGCCGTCCCATTTGCGAACGTACAAGTGGCTAAAGCACGTTTGTGCTTTAGCCACTTGTACGTTCGCAGGTGGTTTTTTTTCGATATATATATATATATATATATATATATATATATATATATATATATATATATATCTTCTTTTCCAACAAAAAACCGCAGATGGACATAGTCCATCTGCGATTTCCTCTCGTTTTCACCAGCGATTTTTTGAATTTTTTTTTACTACGAAATTTATAGGGTTTGTCTACGAAACAACATTATTATATATAAATTTTTTCAAGAAATTATCATTTTTGTTGTTATTTCTTTGGAAAATTTGTTTAAAATGTTGTTTCGGGATTGTTGAAGAAATCGTCCATGATGGCTCTAAGGAAACCGTAGGGATAGAGAGTTTCTCTAAAAAAGATAGTGAAAAAAAACGTTTTTATACTAAATCTCTACGAAATCACAGATGGAATACACAAAATCGCAGATGGAAATACGAAATCGCAGATAGGCTTAATCCATATGCGATTTTAAGGGCTAATTTTGTAATTTGGTTTTTTTTTGCTATTTTCCACAAAATAATT